AGGTTCATTTGTAGTTTTTTAAGAGTTCTCCACACTGCTTTCCATAGGGGTTGAACCAGTTTGCAGCCCCACCAGCAGTATGAGTATTCCCCTTTCCCCACATCCACTCCAACATTTGGTATCGTTTGTTCTCTTGATCTTAGCCAGTCTGACTGGGATAAAATGAAATCTTAAAGTGGTTTTAATTTGCATTTCCCTAATTACTAATGATGTTGAACAACTTTTAAGATGCTTCTTAGCCATCTTTATTTCTTTTTTTGAGAACTCTCTGTTCAGCTCCTCAGTCCATCTTTTTATTGGGTTACTTCCTTTCTTGATTCTCTGTTTTTTGAGTTCGTTATATATTCTGGATGTTAAATCTCTGTCAGACATGTTGCTGGTGAAGATTTTCTCCCATTCTGTGGGTTTTCTGTTTGTTTCCTTGGTTGTCTCCTTTGATGTACAGAAGCTTTTTAGTTTAATGAGGTCCCATTTGTTAATTCTTGCCCTTGTTTGCTGTGCAATTGATGTCCGCTTTAGAACATCCTTTTCTACACCTATATCTTATAGGTTTTTCCCAATGTTTTCTTCTAATAGTTTCAGAGTTTCAGGCTTTACATTGAGGTCTTTGAGCCATTTGGAATTGACTTTTGTGTAGGGTGAAAGATAGGGGTTTAGTTTCATTCTTCTACAGGTAGAGATCCAGTTTTGTCAGCACCATTTGCTGAACATGCTGTCTTTCCTCCAGTGAACGTTCTTGGCCCCTTTGTCAAGTATCAGGTGGCCGAAATTGCATGTATTCATATTTGGCTCTTCAGTTTTGTTCCATTGGTCTATGGGTCTATTTTTGTGCCAGTACCATGTTGTTTTTATGACTATACTCTGTAATACAGCTTAAAATCTGGTATGGTGATTCCCCCCAGCATTGCTCTTAGTGCTCAGCGTTGTTTTGGCTATCCGAGGTCTTTTGTGCTTCCATATGAATCTTAGGATAGATTTTCCCAATTCTGTGAAAAATGTCATGGGGATTTCGATTGGCATTGCGTTGAATCTATAAATGACTTTTGGTAGGATGGTCATTTTCACAATATTAATTCTTCCAATCCATGAGCCTGGGAGGTCCTTCCATCTTCTGATGTCCTCCGCAATCTCTTATTAAAAATTTTCATTGTAGAGCTTTGTAATATCTTTGGTCAGGTTTATTCCAAGATATTTTATTCCTTTTGCAGCTATTGTGAACAGGAGTGTTTCCATGTGCCCTTTTCTGATTGCTTGTTATTGGTACATTGAAAAGCTTTAGACTTTTGTAGGTTAATTTTGTAACCTGCCACTTTACTGAACATGTTAATAATTTCTAGGAGTTTTTGGGTAGAATTTTTGGCATCTCTTAGATATCATATGGTCTGCAAAAAGGGATAATTTGATCTCTTCTTTTCCAAGTATTACTACTTTGATTTCCTTGTCTTATTGCTCTTGCAAGAGTTTCAAGTTCTATGTTAAAGAGAAGTGGAGATAGTGGACAGCCTTGTCTGGTTCCTGATTTCAAT